GGAAGCACAAAAGACCTCTGATAGCCAAAGCAACTCTGAAGGCTAAGAGCAATGCTGGGGGCATTAATATACCAGATTTTAAACTATATTTCAGAACTGTAGTCATAAAAACAACATGGTACTAGTGCAAAAATAGACCCATAGATCAAGGGAACAAAGGTGAAGACCCAAATATGAGTACATGCAATTTCAGCCTGATATTTGTCAAAGGGGCCAAGAACATTCATGGGAAGAATGACAGCATGTTCAGCAAATGGTGCTGGCAAAGCTGGATCTCTCCCTGTAGAAGAATGAAATTAAACCCCTATCTTTCACATTGCACAAATGTCAACTCCAAATGGATCAAAAACCTCAATGTGAAGCTTGAAACTCTGAAGCAGTTAGAAGAAAACATTGGCAATAACCTATAAGATATAGGTGTAGGAAAGGATTTCCTATTGCTCAGGAAGCAAGGTCATGAATCAAAAATGGGACCTCATTAAACTAAAAAGCTTCTGTGTATCAAAAGAAGAAACCAAAAAGTGAAGAGAAAACCCACCGAATGGGAGAAAATCTTCACCAGTAACACATCTGGCAGGGGTTTAACATCCAGAATTTATAATGAACAAAGAATCAAGAAAGGAAGTAACCCAATTAAAAGATGGGCTAAGGAGCTGAGCAGAGAGTTCTCAAAAGAAGAAATAAAGATGGCTAAGAAGCATCTTAAAAGGTGTTCAACATCATTAGTAATTATTTAAGATTTCATCTTACTGCAGTCAGGCTGCTTAAGATCAAGAGAACAAATGATTCCAAATGTTGGAGAGGATGTGGGGAAAGGGAAACACTCAGCCACTGCTGGTGGGGCTGCAAACTTGTTTAACCCCTATGGAAAGCAGTGTGGAGAGCTCTTTCAAAACCACAAATGAACCTACCATTTGACCCACTTATAACACTCCTTGACATATACCCAAAGAACTCATCCAATTGCAGAGACCCTTCTAAATCCATGTTTGTTGCTGTTCTTTTCACAATAGCTAAGAGATGGAAGCAACCTAAGTGTCCCTCAACTGATGAGTGGGTAATGAAAATGTGGTTCATTTATACAATGGAGTTTTACTCAGCAGTAAAGAAAGATGAAATCATGAAATTTGCAGGTAAATTGATGGAACTAGAAACTGTTATACTAAGTGAAGTAACACAGATTCAGAAAAACAAACAAACAAACAAAAAATGGCATATGTTCTCCCTCATATGAGGATCCTAGCAACAAATCCTGATAAGTGAGTATGTGTATCTAGACATAACTACAGGAACCAGGATAATGGAAGGAACCAGGGAGGTAAAGGAAAAGAAAGAATCTGAAAGAACAGTAGGAAACAAGCCTTAATCAGGGAGACATGGATAAAAATGGGGTTATTTTAAGGGGAGGGGGAGGGAGGGTTATACAAAGAACCATGGGGATAAAGGGAAAGAAGGAGCTCAAGAGAGGTGGGACCATAGGAAAAGGGTATTATTAAGGGAGAAATGGGAAAAATGGTGGCACCTTAAATGGGGCAACTATGATGGAAGGGTTAGACAATGAGAGAGATAAATAATGCATAGCTAGTTTAAAAAACCAGAGGGAGCCATATTAGCCCAACAACGTACTGACAAATTATACATACAACTAGCTCAAGGAATATAACATATCTCTAGTCAAGGTTTATCTGAAAACATTTGGTCTTTTGCCATGTTTTATTTACATAGCACATGGTAATTAAAAGTACCAGGCTGTTGGAACTATCCTTCTTGGATATTTAACAGCCATACTTTAAGGCCCATACTAATTTGGTCAGAGGGATTTAAAGGAGAGTTTTGCTCCTTGCCCTCCAAGGTCGATGAGTTCCAGGGGACTATGGAGCATCTCTCAAAATGTCCTGTAACTGTTGTGAGTGACCTGTCCTCTTAATCAAGGAGGCCATGGAGACCCCACAGATGGACTTGTACCAGTGTCCAGTCTACAAAGGTCAACATAGATGAAACATTTCTTCCATGCTTCCAAATGAAGCCATCCACGGTTGAGCAGGACCTTTGGTAGAGGAAAGAAGCCAGGGCCTCGTCCCTAAGCCCATGTGACTTCTGAGGAACACATCCTCAAACAATGTTAAGAGTAAAAACAAATTGTTTTATCTGGGACAACTGCAAAGTAAAAATGAATTTGTTTATCTGGGCCAACTGTTATGGTCTTAAACACACAAAAGGAAAGTATAACCAAAGAGTAAAGGGATCAGTATAATTCTTTAAGAGTCCATGTGTATAGCTAAAAGCTACATAACAAGAAACTCTAGATAGGCTGACTAGCTTCTGTGGATGGACAAGCACTGGAGAACTGCTGGGGGTGCCAACAACACAGTGGACAGTAACAGGGATTACAGAGTATATGGGATCCAGTGGGGGGGGGCTATGGGAGGGTGCCATTTGGGATGTGGGTACATAGATGAATAGGATAGTTTGGGATGTTCTGTATGAAACACACACAAAACATCAACAAATAAAAAGAAGAGTTATATTTGAGAAAGAAGTATAAAAATTTGCTCCATGTTAATTGGTAGAGGTGAATACCATTGAAATCTACCCAATGATTTTACATCCATGCTCAGGTGGATCTCAGAAAGCAACCGTGACTAGCAATAATCAGATACCTAGAGATTAGAGATTCGTATGCAAACATGTAAGGCTAATAGCATTAAAACTGAATTTTTCTGTATGAAACTGTATTTTAAAATGAAATGGAGATCTTTTTCAAAGGTAAAAACCTCATTCAATTTTATGTCTTATAGGTTATAGGCTGAGTACAATATTGTATAATTGTATTAATTCAATTGTGAACCTAAAAATTTACAGCCACTTTTGAAAGAGATGTATCTTTGGTCAGGAAATTGTTGTTGACTATGTCAAAGCTGTAATGAAATGCTGCTTCTAATCATGTGGTTATTAAATAAAAAGAAATACCAAAAAAACAACAACAAAAAAAC